TCCTGGCATTTCACTTGCTGAGAAAGCAAAGACATCTGCATTTTCACGCAGTAGGCTTATCAGATTACATCTCATATCAACATCCATGTCAGCTCCAACCCTAACCATTCTGTTGGAATCACCTGGCCGTAACTCAACTTGTACCGTTTCACCACCCGGTAACGGTCTCGGAGCTGTTTTCGGTCTTGTGTCAAAGTTACCCATGGATAAATCATGTACTGTAGGCTCCAGCTCTTTCTTAGGATTACTCGGTATTGACCCATCTACGACTGGATTCTTCAAAGCCGTTAAATAACAAGACTTTGCCATAACCTGCCCTCCATGAACCTTTTCCACAGCTCCCAAGTTTGACACATACGCTAATGTCAAATGGTATGTTGATACAACAGCTTGTACATCATGAATTATCAGTCTTCCGATAATAGCATTATAGGCCGAGGGAACATTAACCACCAAAAATTTTGCCATCACATCTCTTGCTGTGGGTCCATCACCCAGCCTTACCGGCAAGACTATGCTCCCTTCTGGTCGTACTGAAGATCCATTAAATCCTATAACTGGGTAGGATACCGGCGCCAGGTATTGCCTCCCAATCATCATCTCATTAAAGGCTTTCATAAAAAGGACATTAGCTGAACTTCCTCCATCTACCAGAACTCTTTTTATGTCAGCCCCATTAATCTTCGTTATCAGAACCAGCGGGTCATCATGTGGAAAGACTATCCCCCTTGTATCCTCTTCCGTAAACACAACATCCGGGATTAAAGTTAGTCTTGGGGAACTATCTGTATCAAGGGCATTAATTATGTGGCGATGTTCTGACAAATGCTTCTTTGCCCCACTGATTGTCCCTCCATGCAACGACCCTCCAGTTATCACATCAACCCCTCTCCCAGTTGATAACGGCGGAATTCCTCCAGCCCCATGCCGGATCACACTACCCTGCGGCCTTTCCGGCCTTACATCAAGCTGCTGCCTTTCAAATTGTCGGGGTGGGGGCTGGCTTCCACTCTGATTTAGCCGGTACCGAGATAAATGACCCCTTCTTATCAGTTCTTCTATGTTATCCTTCAGCTGCGTACATTCCTCTGTATAGTGACCCACATCTCTATGGAACATGCAATACTTTTTAGCATCCCTTGGCCTGGCTTTCATAGGAATCAGCCTTGTCCATTCTTCTCTGTTCTGATTCACCGAGAAGATCGCCGCTCGTGGTGCATTCAGCGGTGTATATGAACTGTATCGCATCGGCGGTTTTGCAGCCCTAACTTCCTGCCGACTTCCCCCTCCTCTATTTTGAGTCGAGGTTCTCGGCCTTCCGCTTCCTGAAGCTGCACTTTCAAATTGAAACTGACCCTTGCTAGCGGTGACACTCTTGTTGCTTGTCTTCATTAGCTCCTCACTCTTGATGTAATCATGAGCTTTGTTGAAGGCTGCTGCCAGCGTTGAGAAGTTCTTTCGCGTCAGATATCGCTTGAACTCAGAATCATACAGGCCATTCATAAGAGCCATTACCGCTATCTCTTGTTGCAACTTTGGGATCGTGTTTGCCTCGTTGATGAATCGCCTGATATAATCCCTCAAAGACTCATCTGCCCTCTGTTCAACTGCCATCAACTCTCCTGATGTCCTCTGCCGCACACTATTGCTAACATACTGCCCGATGAACATCTCAGTCAACCTTTCAAAACTATCTATTACCCCATTCTCTAAATTTTTAAACCAATCGGCTGCAGCCCCAATAAATGTAGTCGGAAAGACCTTACACCATACAGCATCTGAGTTTGTGTAAAGCATCATGTGCCCCTCGTATGACGTTATAAACCTTCCCGGATCTCCTCTTCCATCATACCTACATGTCGGCATCTTGATCATCTCCATCGGCTGATCCAAGATGCTTTGCGCAAACGGTGACACCCTTAATTGTACCACAGCTCGCGGTACCTGCCCTTCAACCTGGGAACTTCTCTGCTGATAGGTTCTTGTGATAACAGTTCGGCTTGATGACTCCCCCTCTGCGTGACGCGGTGCAGTATGCGTCCTTACCGATGTTTCTTGTCGGTGGAGCCTTGGTGAGCTTGTTATTCGATTGGACCGTTCACCTTGACTAGTTAGCGGCACACCCCCTTCTGCTTGAGCCATTTCGACATCTTTTCTTTTTTTGCTCATTGCAGTCATTACCCTTGCTGCTACCTGCAATTCTTCTGGCGTAAACTCTGCCATGGGATCTACCGTTGCTCCCCTTTGTCTTTCTGGGGTTAACGGCATGTGAAACTGATTTTCCTCCAATGTATGTGTTTCATCTTCTATCTCAATTTCTGGCTGTATTGTGATTGGTTGATTTATTGTTTTACTTATTATCGGTGTCATATTGTTTCTGGCCATAATTATTGTTATTTTTATGTGTGTGGTTCTTAGGCGATAGAAGTAATCACTGGTCCCCCTCCTTCTAGCGCCAAATTGTTTCTGTCTGGATCCGATAACCCGAGAACCCGAATCCGAGATCCTGACACCCCTATCGGCAGCCCGAGAACCTACACAATTTGAACAGAAGTTATCTAACCCCGGGGTAATCCGGGGACAACCACTCCGATGACAAAGTTAGAATGTGTTTTAGAGAAGGAAAATAAGAAAGAGAAAGAAGAGAGAGAGTGTAATTCATCCTTCATTAATGACTCCCAACCTACTATTTATAATAGGTATCATGACAGGTGTCCACAAAGCATGCAAAACCCTTTTCTGCCAAGTGTCAAGCTGCTCTTGCCACTTGCCAAGTATCGACAGGCCGATATGTCTGCTTTACCAAACATATCTGCCCATTAACCAGGTCTACCGGGTTTAAATCCAAATCCGTAAAAGATTTCGGCCCATCCTACATTTCCTCCCATACATATGGTATTTTATTTTTTGTTTTATTTATTTTATTTTTTGAAATTTCTTGAATTTTGATGTTCAATATGATAATCGATTATCAATTAATGGCCCCGTTTCTTTACACTTTTCATCAAGTCTCTTTTGCCCGTTACTAACACGGGCACCGACTCGTTACAAATAACTGAGTATTGTAACACCTGTATAAGTAACGGACAGTGCCCGTTACAAAATAAACCTGCTTTCATGCTTTGTCAGTTATAAATAGCTTTTTTTCACTAGTATTTGTTGATTTATATATTCATGTAATCACGTTTGATCATGTTGGTCGTGTATGGTGAATAGCTTAAAGCTGAAAGCTGAAGCTGTAGCTGATTATATTAAATGATTTGACTAGCTTATTTTATTAGGTGATTGTATAAAAGTGTTTGATAAATAGCCGATAACTTAAAGTTGATTAAGTATGTGAAATGACCGACAAGCTAATTGTGGGTAGGTAGTTTAGGAATGATTTTAAATTAAATGGGGGTGTAAGTTTCATTTCACCATAAATTAATGAATAAGCTAATTGAAAAAGCTCCTAAACAAAAAGAGTTTATCTAGTGGAATAGGCTCTTCAAAAAAATTCCTACCAAACACTTATTAAGTAGTCAATAAGCCAATATTGGTCAAATAAGCTAATTATGTCATATATGTGATGATATGTACTTTTAATATATCCATTTTATTTTTACTTGTAATAATATATATATATATATATATATATATATATATATATATATATATATATATATATATATATATATATATATATATATATATATATATATATATATATATATATATATATTAATGGTCAAAAAACAATTGTGCAATGGAAAGCCTTTGATTGAGAACGGAGGAAGATTATAAGTTATAACCATCTATTATTATTAAATAGTTTTTTGTCCAATTATGTAGTGATTAACCTGCTCATTGCTTTGATTTTATCATTTTTTTCCTGCACTAGCTATTAAGTATTTTATGGAATAAAAATGTGATTATGAATGAGATGCAATTTGATTGATCACCTGAGACTTTAACCATCTACCATATTTGACATGCCTTAGTTCGTCGGTAGTGTTTTGGATCAAAAGGCCATTCTAAAAATTAAGAATGTTTGGTAAGGTAATATTTACGTAGCAGTTAGTGGTAGAGGTAGTGTATCTCGAACATTACAAATACTAGAGTGTACCCATGCAAAATGCACGGGATATATAGTTTATCGAAAGATATTACAAAGATCTTATAACAAAAATATATTTTAAATACGTGAAGTTGTTTGTGATATAGTAACTTGCTCTTTCACAAAAAACATTATGTATATATTTACATTTCGATGATTATTGAATTAATAATAAGGTAATTAGCTGATTTTAAAAAATATAAATAAACAATTAGAAGAATTTTTAAAAAGGAAAATAGTGGAACTTATGGTGGCGATATTATTTTAAAAAAAATGCACATAATTTTGGAAAAAAAAGGGCAATTATTGTAATAATGGTGTTTCTAAAAAAAATTGGACGAAGTTTTTTTGGAGGGTTTTTTATTTTATTTTTTTTTAAAAAAAAAAGATAGTTGGAAGTTATTTATAGGGCAAAAAAAAAAGGAAAATAAAAAATAATAATTAAAAAAAAAAGGGAGTGAATGAGAATTGAGAGACTGGGTTTTGGAGTAATGTGGTTAAAAGTTGGGAAAAGGACTCTTAAATTATAATATAGATTTGCTGCATTGACATGTAATTTTACTAGCTACTAGATGACTGGCTGACACTCGCTTCTCCAATGTTACCAGTTACCCAAAATCTAGAAGCTATCAACTGCTGCTAGTTTTGCTGAATAGGGTGGGATCAATAGTGCATGTTTTAGAGGATGTTAATGTGTAAAATTAGATGGAGTAGGGTGTTCAGTTATTTGAACATTAATGGCTTATGATCTGTAAAATCATTATCTGTTGCTGTCTGCATGCTTATGTTTGTCATTTTGATTATGGCTGCAAAATTATGAAGTTGTGTCTGAATCATAACATGGAGGGTTCATTATCCGAGTCAAATAGACAATTAAAGGAGTTTTGGATTCCTGATTAAATAATACTGCTCATATGAAATTCCTGAGTGTCCTGTAATTGTGTTTGTCAACTCGAAAAGTGGAGGTCAACTTGGTGGGAGTATTCTTGAAACGTATCGGTCACTTCTAAAAAATTATCAGGTGAATGATGAAGCTGGAATATTTACTCAGAAATTGAATTTAAAAATGCCAAGTTCAAGCAGCCAGCTTTGAATTTAGCTGCATGAGTGAGTAGATTGTGTAAATGCAGGTAGTTGATCTGTTGGAACAAGCTCCTGATGAGTTTCTAAGTAATCTCTATCTTAATTTGGAAAACCTAAAGCAGAAGGAAGATGATTTGGCTATTAAGATCCAGGAGAAACTCAGACTAGTTGTAAGTCTATGCTATTACAATTGATTTGTGTATGTTGCTCATTACATCTATGATGATTGTTTCCCTTTAACATTCCAGTCCATAAATGTTTGCTTTCTTATTATTAGGTTGCTGGTGGTGATGGTACCGCAGGATGGCTTCTTGGAGTTGTTTGCGATTTGAAATTGTCGCATCCTCCTCCTATTGCTACTATGCCCCTTGGAACAGGAAACAACCTCCCCTTTGCATTTGGTTGGGTATAAGACTTCGTTGTTAATGTTGTGCCCTTTTATACCATTGGAATTGTGTGCTATGTTAAAAAAGGCTTACCTTGTTTCTACTTAAACTGCATAGTGCATACTCTTTTCTTTGCTCTCTTTATGTTTATCCATGTTCAATTTATACATTATCAACTGCAGATCTTGTATGGAGTGTTCTTTACCATCTATGTGGCCCTTTTATTTATTGTCCACGTCGATGGATAATCCTAGATGGTATATTCTAATATACTGTTTCGACTTGTAGGGAAAGAAAAACCCAGGAACAGACCAACAATCTGTAAAGTCATTCTTGTATCCAGTCATGCAGGCAAAAGAAATGAAAATCGACAAGTAATGTTTCTCTTTGACTCTATTCTTGTTGTGCATTTTATCCTAATGTTCTAATTGGTGTATAACTATTGGGAAAAGACTTAATATTTATTCGTTCCATCCTTTAATACTCTTAATAGATTCCATCTTGTGGTGTCCCAAACATATTGCATAACCTTATATGTTCCATCCTTCACCTACTACAAACTTGTTGGTTACTATCTTAATATGTTAATATACTTTTACTGCTTTCTATTTGTAACAAATTTTGTACTAGCATATTATAACTTTTTGTAATATATTTATGCCAAAATCTTAAGTAGACGAGTAACACTTTTTTGTATATGTTTAACTTCTTCCATTCAGGTCATATTTGCTGTATTCTAACCTATTCTTTTTTAACCAAACAAAAATAAAACAACTTATTCTATTTTGATCGACATTTCCCCAAGAATCCCAACTATCCATTTTCCATTAACCCCTCTAAATAATTTAACTTTAATATATGAGGCCATATTCTGGTTGCCATTCGCTACTAATGGGTACTATTGGAGACCACCACAAAGTACATAATTTTGCATTTTCATTAATTATGTGTAGTATTATCTAATACTTTTGTAAAATTTGCTGTCATTTCTAGCTGGCATATCCTCATGAGGATGAAGATCCCAACTGAAGGAAACTGTGATCCAATTGCACCTCTTGAGTTGCCACATTCACTGCATGCATTTCATCGTGTTTCCTCAAAAAATTCTTCCAACTTGGTACCTTTGTTCCTCTCCTGCCTTGTTATTTTTACATATCTACTCTTAATAACAACACATAACTTGTGATTATACATTTCATGCTGCATGTGCATTAACAAGTCATTGCCTGTAGTTAGGAAGAGTTGAAAATGAGTGAAAAGTTTGCTGATGTAGAAATAGACATTCAGAATTTTGGGATAAGAGAGGTTGGAGGAATGCACTGTGATGCCGTGATGTGTAATTGAAAGTTCTGAAATGTAAACTTGCATTGTGGAGTCTCTTAAATGATGTCTTGTTATTAACTTATTATTGCTCATGTTGTTGTGCATTTAAATTTACAAACTTCACTGTAATAAGTATGGTCACAAAGGGATACCCGTTTGCTCTTCAAGTATCTTTAATACTTATATCAAATTTCCTACAATGCATCTTTAATAATGATACAGTAGGATATATTAATTTTATAACTGTCCTAGTATATGATAAACATTGATTTTATATAATGACTAACAACCTAAATACAAAGAATGGTTTAAGAGATTACAATAACTAGTATATAATTGTTGGTTAATCATACTTCATATGTCTTCAGAATATAATTGAAAGGTATGTTCCTTGGTAGTTATTCTTTGATACTTCTACTCTAGTATAGCATTGAAATGGCTTGGGTTTCAAAGATGGAAATGTTTAAGACCCAAGAAAACCTCAATTTCAAGCCAATTCTAAGCCTCATTGTTGTAGAAATGATGGGATTTCGAAAATGGGGAAACCTCGAAAATTTCATGCTCCCTAGTTTCTTCTTCATTGTTCTCATGCACGATTTTGATTCTACTGAAACTAAATTCTCATGAGATCTTCTGTTTGATGCTTTTTAGGAGGGCCACCTTACATTTCGTGGTGGATTTTGGAATTACTTCAGCATGGGTATGGTGGTGGTTTTTGTTTCTCTCTCTTTCTTAACAGAATTTGATTAGAAAGTAACCCATTTGGAAAAATCCTTTCTTTTCCAATGTGCGTGTTAGGTTCTATGACTATATCAACTGGCATTTCACTTAGAGAACCCCCATTTTTGGTGGGACAAAGGATGTTCTGGGACTCAAATTTATGTTTCATTATACAATGTTTTTCATTTTATAATTTACAATATATATTTACCCTCATGAACAAGCGGTGATAATAAACCTACGCTTTGGATTTTTTTTATTTTTTTTATTTGTATGATTTAATTTATCTCAATGAGTGTAAGATAAGTGAAGTCATAGCCTCATAGGCCTGAGTTTTGTGATCCTCTCTTCTTTTAATCTTTGCTGGCCTTTTACATTATCATACTTATTATGTTTGATCTTGTTAGTATTCTACTGAATGATGTTGCACTGTATATTCTCCTTTTTCCCATCCAGGTCTTCCCTAGGGCAAGGGTATTCCTATTCTATGAGAATTTTAAAATGGGATGATGTCGTTCTTCATTAATGTAGCTTATGTAGCCGTGTAGGCTAAAAGATTTGACCAAACTATCATTTTGTTCGTTATATTTGCTGTTCCCCTGCCCTATATGACTACAATAGATGAAACTTGTAGGTTGGTCTTCTATGCTTAACCTGTTTTTGATCAATTTAGAGAATTACTGGCTTTTAACAGTTGTTTTACTGATATTCTTTCATCACTTGTCTTGGCTTTTTTCTCATCCTAAGTTCAACTAGTGTTTTCGGGATTAAAAATTTGAACTTTGTCTTCTTCAATAGATATGAACAGTTGAATATGATTACCAACCATTTTACTCATCCAATTTTCCTTACATTATGCATTTCTTTTCCATCAAATTTACAGGAATGGATGCCCAAGTATCATATGCTTTCCATTCTGAGAGGAAGTTGAATCCTGAAAAGTTTAAAAACCAATTAGTCAATCAGGTTTGTAGTCTTTAATTGTTATCATTGCATCATGCACTTATTATTGGGTAATTAATTGTTGTGTTACGACTCCTTATTCAACTTTCCCTTGAGGGATTTAACTGCTGTCAGCTCTAATTCGGTGGCTATGTAGGGGTGGATGTTTCATTTTTGGTAGCTATATAGCTTTGAGTTTTTGTTCTATTGCATTCAGAGTACACATGATAGAGTTGATAAAAATCCAATAGATGATTTTTATAGTTGTGGGAAGATTATTTAGTGTTGATTGTAGCAGCATTGAGTTGACCTTCCATGGGCGTTGCAGAGTGCGTATGCTAAACTTGGGTGTACACAAGGCTGGTTTTTTGCTTCCCTGTTCCATCCTGCTGATAAGTGAGTAGTATACTCTGGCTGCTCTCTCAATATTTACTGTTATGTTTTTTAGTCATTAATAACTTTTTACATCAGAGGTTTTGTTTTTTGTAAGCAGAAATTTTGTTTTCTTTCTCATAGGAATATTGCACAGCTGGCAAAGGTACAAATTATGAAGAAACACGGTGATCAATGGGAAGAACTCCATATTCCTCCTAGGTATTAACTCTATTATAAGTCAATATAATCACTGCTTGTAAGTGGTAACCCTCAGCTTTACATTGTACCTGTAGAACCTGTAGTATTTCCCGTTGCGTGGAATGGATTTTCTGACTTTTAAACTCTGGAGCTATGCAAAATTCCAGAAACTAGTAATTAATCATAATTTTAAACTTAATGTGATGGCTTCTATTTTGGTTCCGAATTGCTGGTCTATTTTGATTTATATGATTATTAATGCAAGATAATTACTTTGTCGAAGGCCCTTAAGTGAGTAGTACTTCAAGCTGCACAGGAGATAGTGCTAGTACTAGTCATGATGTTAAGCTAGTGAACATTTGATTTAGTAGTGGGAGCATACAGTTTAACCGCCAATCTCCAATACATTCCAACATGTTTAACACTAGTAGATTGATGTTTTTGTCCCAAGGTTTTCAAAATGACATTGGCTATTTTACCTGCATTTTTCTTTTTCCTTATCTATGTTGTGTGTTTTCTGCTTCCTTCTATACCATGTTCTATGATTTAAATATATGCAGTCTTTCCTAACAATAGAGTCTATAGTGCCACGTGTCTGATTGGAAAATAGATATTCTATTAGCTATTTTAATATTGTCTTTGATGATTGAGAAATATGTATGCATGCAGATTAGACTATAAACCTTTTACAGGGTGATTTAACTACCATAGGCAATGATTTTGAAGAATGTAGTAGATAAAACGACTTTGACATAAACTATCTATTTGGCTTTTGTTGCCTGCAGCTATTTGGGAATGCAATGTTGTAATTAGTATTAAACAGTTTGTGTGTTTGTATTAAATAATCAGAGTAAGATTGAATAAAACCGTACCCTTTCAAAGCTGTAGTGAGCTTGGCAAACCAACATCTCGGAGCTTGTTTCAACCCATACAAAGACTTTCTCAAACGACACACCAAACTCGAATCCGAGCTCTCAAAACCTGGAGGTAATTTCATGTACACCTCTTCTTCAAGATCACCATGTAAGAAAGCAATATGAACATCTCCCAGTTTTTTGAAACTGCTATAGAAAAGCGCGAACAGTAGTCATTTTTGCAACCGGAGCAAAGGTCTCACCATAATCAATGCCTTCTCTTTGATGATTACCAAAAACAACCAAACGAGACTTGAGACGTTCAATATCACCATTAGACAAAAATTTCGTCTTATACACCCATTGACAACCTAGAGCTTTCTTGCCGGGAGGAAGATGCTCTAATGTCCAAGTTTCATTATCTTCCAATGCCCTTATTTCTTCTTTCATAGAACGTCGCCAACTGCAACACCTTCTCCACCACCACGCATCACCCCCACTTATCAGAGAAGGCAGAAGCAGCGACAGGGTCAGAACAGCAATAATAACATACCGTGGCCAAGACAAGCACAAGCAGAGAACCGTTGAAAAAGGACAGACAGGGCAGCTTTGGGAGTTTGTTTACATTATGATTAAAAAGAGAAGAAGACAAAAGTAGTACTTTAGTAATTAAGGCCTTGTTTGCCAAGTTATTGCATTGTAGTAGTAATATATATAGCAGTAGTAAAGTAGTGGAAAGGCATCCAGAAAATTGAAGTGTATTTTGGAGAGTCATGGCCTAAAGCCATGGGCACCTTTTGTAAGCTTTAAGCATTAACAATCAAAACATCCAACCTTTCGCCCAGTACATTATCATTCTCACGCTAGTCCGTTGTAATTGGTATCAGAGCAGACATGCCGCCCACACCGTTGACGGTGACGCCGGAGCGAGTGGCGGCGCTAGAGGAAAGAGTAGAGGAAATTGTTCAGAAGCTTGGGGTAGGAGAAAATTCGCTACAACACAATTTGTTAAGGAAACAAGACGAGTCAATAGACAAGGTAAGACAGTCGTTAGAGGGAAGGATGGATCGTTTCCGGCAGGACATAACACAACAAATGAATATAACGACCAGCCGCCAAGATAGGGTCATGGACGAGATCCGTGATGCCATTAAGGCTTTGGGAAAGCAACCTACCCAACCACCAGGAGGGAACGAGGAGGTGGAGCAGCCTCACCCTGGAGGTGGCTTTAACGGGTCGCCGCATATGAACCGCGGGTTCAGCGAACCGCCAATCTTGAACCGCGGGCTCAATGAGCCACCAATCGGAGCAGGGGGCCTTAATGGACTCCGATTTGGAAATTGGGAAGCAGGGTTTGGAGGTGAGAACAACCACCACGACAACCGGAGTGGCTGGAGACTCCGCAAGCTTGACATGCCCTTGTTCAACGGGGCGGACCCGGATGGCTGGATTCTACGGGGAGAGCAGTACTTCCTGTTCTATCGGCTCACCGAGGTGGAGAAATTGCAAGCGGCGGTCGTGGCTATGGAGGGGGATGCCCTGAGGTGGTACCAGTGGGAGCATCGCCGGCGACCGGTGACCCACTGGGAAAACATGAAGATGCGGGTCTTGACTCAATTCAGACCGGTGAACGCTGGCTCTCTCCACGAGAAGTGGCTAGCCGTCACCCACACCACCACCGTGGTGGAGTACCGAAGAACATTTATAGAGAAAGCCGTTTCACTAACTGACGTGCCTGAGAGTATCATGAAAGGGCAATTCGTAAACGGGTTGAAGGAAGAGATAAGGGCGGAGATTCGGATGTTGAATCCGTTAACCCTCGAAGATGCGATGGACCTAGCAATCCGGGTTGAGGAGAGGAACCGGGTTAACGGGTTAAGAAAACCCAGCGGAGCCTACGTGAAACCCGGCCCGTACTCCTACATCAACCAAAGCCCAGCTTCCACTCTCTTAGGAACTGGGCAGCCCAAACTATCACCCCACCAAATTTCCAGCCCAATTCCCAACCCAACCACCCTTATCAGTCCAGCAATGCAAACCGCGTTAATTCACTCACAAATTCCACCCCACAAAGCTCAACAGCCTCTGTCACACAACCCATCACCCCTTACCAGAACCGTAACAACCCCGGCACCACCCAGTTCAGTGGAAATGTCCGGCGACTAACGGAGCGGGAAATCTAGGAGAAAAAGGCCAAGGGCCTATGTTTTAGGTGTGATGGCCGATGGACCGGCCCAACTCATGTTTGTGGAGCCAAGGGGTTGAGCGTGCTTCTAGTGGAAGAAGACAAAGAGGAGGAGAACGGGGAACTAGCCGTGTTGGAGAACGTTGAGTCGGAGGAGGAAGTGGCAGGCGTGGCAATCACTATGAACTCACTTGTTTGGCTGTCCAACCCAAAGACCATGAGGCTTTAGGGTGAAATCAATGGGCAGTGTGTAGTGATCATGATCGACCCCGGCACGACACATAATTTTGTGTCAATGCAAGCCGTGGAGAAGCTTGGGTTGAAGATTACCGATGATGCGACATTTGGTGTCTCCCTTGGTAACGGTGAGAACATTAGAGGGAAGGGGCAGTGCTTGGGTGTTAAGGTAAAATTGGAGGAAGGTGTGGAAATTGAGGAGGACTTTTTACCCCTCCAATTAGGGAACTCCGATGTAATTCTTGGAGTCCAATGGTTGGAAAAGCTCGGAGCCGTACTCACTAATTAGAAATTACAAGAGATGTGTTTTTCTTTGGGAGGTCGAAAGATAACAATTAGAGGTGACCCTAGTTTGTCTAAGTCCGGTATTACGCTCAAAGCAATGACCAAGACTCTTAAGAAACAAAAAAGAGGGCTCTTAGTGGAGTGGAACCTGTTGGAGGAAGAAAAGAAAGAGGCAGTAGGCTTGGTTCCCTTGTTTTTGAGAGGAGTGGTAAGCAAATTTTGGGCAAGTGTTTGATTAGCCGAGGGGATTACCTCCTGCAAGGGGTCATGAGCATTCCATAGTGCTCAAGGAGGGAAGAAACCCCGTGAGTGTACGGCCGTACCGATACCCACAATTTCAAAAAGACGAAATTGAGAAGTTGATCGGAGAAATGCTAGCGGCGGGAATCATACGGCCATCTACAAGTCCCTTTTCATGTCCGGTATTACTAGTGAAGAAAAAGGATGGGTCGTGGCGATTTTGCGTCGATTATCGAGCCCTCAACCAAGAAACCATGGCCGATAAATACCCAATACCGGTTATCGACGAGCTCCTAGATGAGTTGAACGGAGCTAAGGTCTTTACCAAGCTTGATCTCAAGTCAGGGTATCATCAAATTTTAGTGAGGCCGGAGGATGTCCACAAGACGGCTTTTCGGACCCATGAAGGACATTACGAGTTCTTGGTAATGCCCTTTGGACTAACCAACGCACCGGAAACGTTCCAATCGTTGATGAATGAGGTGTTCCGGTCATTTTTACGCAAATTTGTCTTAGTATTTTTTGACGACATTCTTGTGTATAGCTCTAACTTGGAAGAACATACTCAACATGTGAAGGAAGTTCTGACCGTGCTTAAGGCCCACTCCCTATTTGCCAACATCAAAAAGTGTGAGTTTGGTAAAGAGAGGGTTGCCTATTTGGGCCATATAATTTCAGAAGAGGGGGTAGCTGTGGATCATGATAAAGTCCAAGCAATGGTCAAGTGGCCCACACCTAAGTCCATTAGGGAATTAAGAGGCTTCTTAGGCCTTACGGGTACTACAGGAAGTTTATCTTCCATTATGCCCAAATCGCGCAACCCCTCACCGACCAGCTTAAGAGGGATAGCTTTGGGTGGTCGGCGGCGGCGAAGCAAGCGTTCCGGAGACTGAAGGAGGCGATGACGACGGCGCAAGTTTTAGTGATGCCTGATTTCACGAAAACCTTTGTGGTGGAATCAGACGCGTCTGGGTTCGGCCTCGGCGCGGTGTTAATGCAGGAGGGGAGCCTGGTGGCTTTCTTCAGTAAGATGTTGGGTCCGAACAGTAGAGGGAAGTCAATTTACGAAAAAGAGTTAATGGCGGTTTGTTTGGCCGTCTAAAAATGGAGGCATTACCTTTTGGGACGGCGGTTCATTAACAATTGAAATAACTATCATCCAATAACAAATTATCAAGAACTAAGAAGATTTAAATATCATGCAACAACAAATAAAATCA